TCTTATTTTAATTTATCTAATTTTACTTCATTTTATTTCATTTTTTTTATAATTTAATATATTTTAATTTAATTTAATTTCTTTTGCTTTGTTTTATTTTATTTTATTTTTCAGTTTTATTTAATTTTTTTTTTAAATTTATTTTGTTGTAATTCATTTTGTTTTATTTTATCAAAATTTACTTTTTTCATATTATTTAATTTTATTAAATTATTTTAATTTTATTCATTATTTTATTTTACTCTATTTTATTTTATTTTTTATTATATAATATCTTATTATTTCATCTTATTTAATTTTACCGTGGGGTGACCGCAATTAATATTGTAATTTTAACTTAATTTTTTATTCAAGTTAATTTTCTATAACTTTTGGATGTTGGTCGCAACAGAGCTTGAATCCATACCAATCTAATTTTCAGTTCATAAGAGTCGTCAAATTTACTTACAAAAATCGCATTTTTAAAAAACCCTTTGAAGGAAAGCTAAAAAAATTTACTAGATCTTACCACTAATATTAAAGAAGGATCATAAAATTCTAAAGAACGACTAATTACTAAAGTACATAAATAAAAACGTTATGTTGCTAGTAAAGTTATTTATTCAAAATTTTCATTCTTAAAAAGTTCAAGTTAAATTATAATTAAAAATGATATAAATTACAAACATATACTACATAAAATGCTCCAATGTACGCTTGTATGTATGAGAGAAGCTACGAGCCTTGGTCGTTCACCCATTATCACAATACACCCCGTTGAAGTTCCGGTTTGATAAGATTCAAACAAAAGCTGCGTAATCCTTCAATTACACATGTACGTACAATTTACCCACGTTCATTATATGTAAACATAATTTTTGTTGTTTGTCATATGGAGGCTGTCACATAATTATGTCACACAATTATGTTGCAAAAGAACATACTGTTTGTAATAGGTTCTGCAGAATAAATTTTCATAAATTATACCAGATATAGGATGTAGTATATTAAAAATAAAACAAAACAAAATAAAATAAAATAAAATAAAATAAAATAAAATAAAATAAAATAAAATAAAATAAAATAAAATAAAATAAAATAAAATAAAATAAAATAAAATAAAATAAAATAAAATAAAATAAAATAAAATAAAATAAAATAAAATAAAATAAAATAAAATAAAATAAAATAAAATAAAATAAAATAAAATAAAATAAAATAAAATAAAATAAAATAAAATAAAATAAAATAAAATAAAATAAAATAAAATAAAATAAAATAAAATAAAATAAAATAAAATAAAATAAAATAAAATAAAATAAAATAAAATAAAATAAAATAAAATAAAATAAAATAAAATAAAATAAAATAAAATAAAATAAAATAAAATAAAATAAAATAAAATAAAATAAAATAAAATAAAATAAAATAAAATAAAATAAAATAAAATAAAATAAAATAAAATAAAATAAAATAAAATAAAATAAAATAAAATAAAATAAAATAAAATAAAATAAAATAAAATAAAATAAAATAAAATAAAATAAAATAAAATAAAATAAAATAAAATAAAATAAAATAAAATAAAATAAAATAAAATAAAATAAAATAAAATAAAATAAAATAAAATAAAATAAAATAAAATAAAATAAAATAAAATAAAATAAAATAAAATAAAATAAAATAAAATAAAATAAAATAAAATAAAATAAAATAAAATAAAATAAAATAAAATAAAATAAAATAAAATAAAATAAAATAAAATAAAATAAAATAAAATAAAATAAAATAAAAAAAATATTATATATTAATTATATAAACTAAAATTGAGTTAATATAAAAATAATTTCTTAAAATAAATTAAAGGTAGGAAATAAATAAGGAAAATAAAATAAGGTTAAATAAAACAAACAATAATAATTATGTAACAAAATTAAAATAATAAATTAATTCAAAATGAAGTAAATAGAAAAATAAAATGAGTTAAATTATAAAATTAAGTAAATTTGTTAATATAAATTAAGAATAATAATAATAAAAACTAAAAAACTGAAAGTAAATAAAATAAACGAAATAATATAAAATGAAAATAAAATAAAGAATGGTAGCCATGATAAATTTTCAATATGTTGTTTTGCATTTTTGAAAATCCTTACCATGAAAACTTCTTTAACCGGAAGCCGTTTTAGGTATATTCACCTCAAATAAAACACAGTTACGTAACAAAATAAAAAATGATAATTATTTAAATAAAATACTTTAGATCCCTCACATTGAAAAAAAACTTAAACACAGATGCGTGCATATTATAAAATCATGAATGGATCTTAAATGATAGTTAGTCTGGGGGAAGAACAAGAAAAAAATTTATCTCAAACAATCCTTCTTCAAACACCAAAAGGCGGCACCTTTGTTGTGGTTTTTTCTCTTCTTGTTATACTCATTTAAGATTTTCAGAGAAACAAAGAAAACTAAGAAAATATAAAACTATGTAATGCTGAATGGTCGTGCAACGTGCATCCCCGCCAAAAGAAAAAAAATGAAAAAAACCTTTGATGTTGTCGCCTGTTTTGACGTATTGACTCTTGGAAACACCAATAACATGCGTGATTACAAACCTATGTTACATATTTATAACCTTATATGCAAGCATATCAAAATGTGTACAATTCTTTGTGCTTTTATACACTCACATTAGTATGTACGTGTGTGCTTGTGTTATTCCAATATTTACCTATACTAATTATGGTGTTGGAGACTTTGAAAAATGCCGATTTTTCAACAATTTAATGCACACACGCATTGGTATACGTAAATATGTATGTATGTAAATACAATACTTTCATGAATGAATCTTTTGAAAATCGTTATAATTTGTTTTTGTGTTCACAAAAAAAAAATATAAAAAATTTGAATTTATTTTACAACTGTCTCTATGTGGAGAGCGTCAGGTATGGAACATTTTTTGTATATTTCTAAGTCGCATATATATTATATATATAAACGTACATACAATGGCGTCCAATTAGTTGTAATTAGTACGTAAAAGAAAAAACAATGGACAAAAATTTACTAAAACAATATTGACAACATCGCAAGTGTTAAAATAAACATATTCGTATGTATGTATGTAATTCGTAAGTTGGTGTTATTTACAGATAATCAAGTATGGCTAAGTGAATCTTGAATGATGCGATAAATGATTTGTCAATTCGTTAAAGCGCCAATAATAAAGTTATTTAAAGATAGTACTGTTGTTATTGTTTTATTTTCATATTTAACTTTGAAAATTCGTATAAACTAATACTTTCAAAACCATGAGCGCAATTGGTATAACGGAATTTGAAGTTATGTGTCCTTCACATCACTCCATAATGATAAGGAGCACTTTTAAATCTCACTTCAATTTGTTAGTATTTATGTTACAGATCCTCCTTCACATGATCCAAGACATGACATGATGTAGGAACCAAGACTCGAATGGGATGACTGTTTGTTTAATAACAGGACATATTTCGTTCATTACTAGACCCATTCGCCTCGCTGCTTTATCTTAGATTGAAAAAAGCTGAACTTACTCTTGAGGCCTTGCTGCTCCCGACTTTCACACTCTGCTCAGCAATACATCAGCCTGGCCTCCATAAGGTGCACATAACCACAACTGCACTTAACGACACAGTAAATCATCGATAGGATTTCGAAGTCCAACATTGAAAGTCAAAAAATTGAGCAAGGGACTCCACAGGGTGTTTGACTTTTATATTTCAAAACTCTCATCCAGAGCTGCATCCAGAAAAATCGTCTTCACCAGGTGGAAGAGGAGTACAGACTCGAACTCCATGTGAAAGTCGAAGGCGTGAAAATTTAGACTATAAGCAACCCAAAGTTACTGGGAGTCACATTCGACAGCCTGCCCTCTACATACTGCCACAAAATTGTAGAGCCGCAACAACCGTTGGGATACCAAATTCAGACATAGCGGCGTAGCGCCTTGTAGTAGTATTGAAGATAGCTTTAAAATCGACGAAAAGATGGTCTTTGTGTGGCCAATTAATGAATCTCAACAGAATCTTATATACGATATTAAAGAAGCGTATACTAAAGATTGTGGGGTTTGGATTTTGGTTCCAACCATCGAGCCTTCTTTCGACTGCCCATTTTCTGCAAAGCAGCTACACCTTGACAGTCCTCAGACAGTAAGCCATCGGCTCCAGCCGACATCTTCTCAGATGTACGAACCATCGTCCCTGCAGCTACGACAAAAATAATTGAAAAAAGTGCTAAGATCCTAGCAGCCATTCTGCAGCTTTCTTAGGTTAGCTGTGCTGCTACACTCCTACTAGTGTGAAGAACATTGCATTTCTATCCTTTCGCGAACTTAAGAAGCCATTCTGCCCCCTTGGCCATTGGTGACAGAAGATGCTGCAAGATCTTTCTGTTCCAAGTATGCCGGACATTGACAGATTACGTGCTCCACTGTCTCCAAGCATTCCTTGCATTTCCTACACTTGTTGTCTGCAGTCAGATCTATCTTTAACGCATGAGACTCCAGAGTGCAATGCCCAATTAATAGTCCTATCAACAGCCTGGAGTCGGGCTTCTTAACAGATATTACAAACTTTATGTGTTTAGTATCGTCTTTTTTACACATAAGCTTCCTTGTTTGCAATAAGTTCTGCTGGTAAGACGCTGCAGTAATCTGGTAACTGCGCGGAATACTATATCCAAGCGTACCCTGTAGCACGATGGCTCCAAGGCTGAGATCTCTTGAAGTTTGCCATACAAATCCAGCGGAAGCAAATTAAGAACAGTTTCCAGGGCTTTTGATGGAGTCGATGGTAGAGCTCCAGTAATGGCAATAGCTGCTGACCGCTGACTCTATCCAGCCTACTTGTAAGCGGGGTTTTCGAGCAAAACAAAAAAATAATATAAAATATACATTTATTTTACATATATATATATATATTTTTTATAAATAATTTTTGTAAAAATTTATTAATTCTTATTTTCTCTATTTATAGATGCCCGCACAATATGGAATTAGCGATTTGTAAAACAGAGTTGCCAACCAACAGATTTATGCTACCAACTGCACCGGCCTCCTTCTATCAGAAGAACAACGCTCACTTTAGTGAGATATTGAATTTCAATACAAATTATTTATTTAATAATAAAATTAATACAAACAACAATTGTGATAACAACAACAGCAACAATCATATAAATAGTGCCAGTGTTAGTGCAATTAATCAAATAATTAATAATAATCAAAATATTAGTGCTAACAATATAAACAATCAAAACACAAATAATTCAATTTTGAATAGCTGCAGTAGCAGCAACAACAACAGCAGTGCTAGCAGCAGCAGCAGTATGCGTCTGAAAAAGAATCGGCGAGTGACTTTCCTCAAAAATCTAATCGAGGTGAGTGTTATCTTTTTGATGTATTTAAGAAAAGTGTGACAAGAAAGATTAAAAAAAAAAATAAATATGTTTAAATGCATTGAAGACACTGAGTGTCAATATGTCTTATTAGAATGCAAGTATAGTATGTATTGGGCGAGTGTTGCTTTTATTTAATATGCAAGGCTTGTTGAGTGCATTTGCATAATTTGTTTTCCTTATACATCAACAGCCACTGTTGCTGAAAGTGAGTGTTTTGTACATTAGGGCCATCATTTGTTGGGGCTGCTTAAAGTAATTAAAAAATAAATAATTAAGATTTAAAATTTGAATTTCAACTCTGCTTTTGAGTCATTTCGACACATCAAATATAATTTTGATGCTAAATTTTTTGTTTGTTTTTAAGAACACCCCTAATGTGCAATTATATATTACATGCCAGAGAAGTTTTTATATTTATCGGATACTGCACGATTCATTGTTATACATAATTAACTTAAATTTGTATAATGACAGTGACTGCATTTGTTCTTGGCATAAATACCTCAAACCATAATTTTTGGAAATTTGGTAAAAATTGTAAAAATTTAAATGCAAGCGCCCTGCAGGAAAAGTTTAGGAAGCAGGAGGTTTAATTTTTTTACATTAATTAATCAACCTTTTAACACTTCACTATGCTTCTTCTTTATTGGAATTGGTTTCGCTTACGTGATTATAGATGAATCAACAAAATCTCGACGTTTATCTCTTCTTTTCGCTGTTTGGCGCCAGTTGGAAACACCACGTGAAACCGAGATCGCTCTCCACCTAATACTTCGAATAGAGTGGAGGTGCTCCCCTTCCTCTACCTCCACCAGTGGGTACTGCATCCAACACTTTCGAAGCTGCAGCGCTTTCATTTATTCCGACGACATGATTTAACCACTGTTTCTATATTCGCTGAATAACACGCACTGCTAATCGTTCTAGCTTCTGCGGTATTCGCCGTTGCCAATGCGCGTCGGACCATATAATCGTTCACACGATGTCGATATCGTCCACGCTTTTACACCATATAGTTGGACGGAACTGATGAGAGACTTATAGAGTTTCGTTTTCGTTCGTCGAGAGAGGACTTTTTAATTTTCTACTCACTCCAAAGTTGCACCCGTTGATAGTGAACGGAATTTTCAGCACAGCCCTTAATAAGCATTACATAACCTCATTTATACTTGTTGAATCAGCACTTGACAAATCTTTAATAAAATGATTCCTTTGGCCGACTGCGACTATCGCAGGCGATGGATTGATGAGATATACTATGACATTGACATATTTCCTGGAATCGAGAGAAAGTAGGCTCTGTCTAGATTATATTCTTCCCATGAAGGAAAATACTTCTTTGAAAGTATTCGATGGAGTAGCCACCGGTGAAAGTAAGAGAAAGATCTTCATGGTGGTGAAAAGATTGGGTTTTGAGTCTACTCGTCCACGTTTCCGCCCCATATAGCGAAATGGGAATGTTGAAAGACTTGTAGAGTTTAAATTCGATTTCGATGCATTTTTGATTTCAGTTACAACTCAGATCTCATAACCTTCGTGGCGTGTTGTTCTAATACATTTCGAGTCAACGTAAATAAAATTTTAACTTCCCCGATCAGTAGTAGCCTTAATTTCGTATGCTTGGAATAATGTTCTTCTTTTGATCTCATCAGATATGAGTGAATTGTATACACCTATGTGAATGATGTGGCCATGAGCTAATTGTGAGATAAATATTGAGCCAAATACCGCTTAAACTGTCATTTAAATCAAAGAAATTGTATTCACAATCGCTTCCATTATAAATTACTTTGATTTATCACATTGTTCGCTGATATTTGTTGTCTTCCGTTGCGTTTGCACATACATATACGCGTAAATAGCAAGTAAGAAAGTCATAGTTCGGCTGGCATCGAACATTAGAAAATCGACTTAAGATATATAACGGACGGTTTATGTGCACTGAAACGATTATCGACTGAGTTGATGCTTTAATTTTTTGTGACGTACACATTTATGTTTTTGAACGTCGGATTTTCAAGAGAAGCTCCTATTTCATGTCAGAAATAAACTCCGATGGCTAGATATTTCCTCTCCGAGGGCGATCGCATTTAGATATATGAATTTCTTAAATAAATTTTCTATAATTTTGGTTTTTCTCTGGTCAGTGGTTGAGCCCATGACCATCCGCATGTTGGTACGTACTGCTAACCACTCGGCGAAAGAGGACGCATGCTGATTGTATGAAATATTACGAGTATATATGAAGATCGTGGATCTCTGTGAGAATTTTTGACTAATGCTTGGTTCTCATGTGAGATCAATTCGTCCAACCTTTCTATGAACAAAGTTAAAATACCTTGTATACAGGGTGCAAAGTATGAGTATGAAAATTCGTATCTAATTATGTTAGTGTGTATGTATGTATGTATGTATGTATGCAAGATCATCCGCTGTCGAAGACGGCTCTTAGAGGTAAAGCGTTGGTGGGGCTTGGTAGCTACTACTGGGGCCGCGTACATTATTATATGAATAACATACATTATATGAATAACATACATATGTACATAAATGCATATCCATATATGTGAAGTTGCTTTTATGTTTGTATTGTTGTATTTATATCCTCTTTTGCGGGCGTACGCTGTGGATATTAACGTGTGCCTCGAGCGTATTGGCCATGCCGGTCACGTTATTAGCCAGATTTGTGCAAAGCCAAATGCAATCTAGCTATTCTTCTTCGTCTACTTATATTCTAGACACACATACTTATAATATACGCTTATGCATACGTGACAACAACAACAGCAACATACAGACAGCTCTTATTAATAAGTATGCAAATATGCTACACACAAACACTTACATTGCATACATACATACACACATACATATATACATAAATACATACATACATATCACATATATAGCTATTTACGATTTGCAAGCGCTGAGTGACAGTGTTGACAACGATGAGTGTCTTTAAATAGACATATTTATCCTTAGAATAATGTGCAGCTAGCCCCGATACACCTACTCACTAGTCTAACACTAGTTTACAAATTTAGTTTTCTAACATTAAAATATCAACCACGACATCTGTCTAAGACAATAATTTAATGATTGAATATTATATAAATACGCCTCGGTGATATGCCTAATTCTTCGTGTTCGATCATTTGTTGTAGTTTGGCTTCTTTATTGTCCATCTTCTTTATTGTAAACATACAAGTAACTAACTATGCAACTCTCTATAAATATGCAGTTTATTCTTTTGAAAACTCACAGTATACTCCTTTTCATTTAACACCGTTGTTGTAACTACCAAGTTCCAAACTCAACTGAACAACTGGCGACTTGAGCTCTACTCTTATACGCTTACATATTTCTCGTACACACCTCAAGAAGGTTCTGTTGGACAGTTCTTCATAATCAACATTCGATGTACGCGCTCTAGAATATACTTGAGTTATCGGCCTCTCCTTCCTACCTAACATTCACATTTGTCATTTGCGACCAAATAATATTAGGTGTTGTAAAAAGAATCCATTATTTTGGTATACAATTGAATGGTTTAATCTTTTACTTTTCGCATCCAGCCTTATTCAAATGGTTTCAAGTGGGTTTTTATGCAATCTTTAGCTCCTGTGCAATCGAAACAGCGCTCACATGACGGTCGGACTCGACAATGTCCATAATATTATCGACATTTTCGACAGTTGGCCTTTCACTCCGTGAAGCATCAATTCCAAGCTTTTTTAGTACGAAACGTCATCTTTTTAACGCCATCTAGCGGAACCCGATCGGATCTTATACAACGAGATCAATTGGAAAAATAACGTATTTCTTCTTACTACACCTGATATTAATTAAAGGACCAAGAGCTAAGAAAAGCTCGAACTCAAAGGCTGACAAAAGTTCCTAAGCTAATTTGAAGTGCTTCCAGGCATTGAAAACTTAGGCTACAATGTCCGAACACGCGACTTCTGTCAAAATAATGTTCATTTTCATAATCATTTTAATTCCCATGAGTATCTGAAGATAGTGAACCGATAAGATTTGTCATATCTCTCTGTTTGAAAGGTTGTTTCAGAAAACATCACAGCTAGTACTTGCAGGTTGAAACCGCTGGAACACTCTTTATGTGTGCCTCACACAGTAGCCGATGGAAGTCTGCATGTATGAAGGAAAGCTTTGACTCAAGATGGTCCCCCTAGGAGAGTACGCACTTGAGCCTTCAAATCGTTCTTTGGGCTCTTTGAGTGATACGATTTTAATGTCAGCTACGGCTGTTAAACGAGTGGCATCGTTAAGGTTCTGTATTTTTATTTTTGTAAATGGACAAAAGCCACACGGAGCCATGTCTGGCGAATATGGTAGCATGCACATCAAGTATTGTTTTTAGCCACAAATTGACTAACAAACAATAAAGTCTCAGTGTAGATCTCTTATCGTGATGCTAAGGATGTGAACTGTTTTCCATTAATTCGGTTTTTTCCAAGGTTGCTTCACGCAAACGGCATTGAACTTGTTTAGTACTCCTTATGGATCGTTAGACCCGAGAGAAAAATTCATGATGCCATTTGAATCGAAGAAAACCGTGAGTTCCACCGCACTTGTCGAGTCTTTTTTAGTTTTTTCGAGCCAGAATGGTTACACGGCTTGTCTTATTCTTAAATGCATGTTTCGTCACTTGTTATAATAATCATTTTGCAACGTCGCTAGTTATTGACTCCTGAGAAATTTCTATCAGCTGCCGTTTTTTTATTTCAAAATTCAAAAATTTTGGGTCATTTATACTGCCACTATTTTCCAAATGTTTTCGGGCAAGTGACGGCGGCTGATCGAATAAATTCCAGCCTAGACCACATTTTTCTGCAATTGGCAGATATATCAGCCATTGCTGAGGCGTTAATCGGCTCTGACTGATTTTAACATAACCTAACAAAAGATAGTCCAGAGGTGTTAAATCGTACAAACTTAGAGGCCACGCCAAAGAT